GGGAGAGGAAATGCAGAATTCTCGTTTCAGTCAGGCAAGATGAAAAAGTTCTGGGCATGGATGGTGGTGAAGGTTGCACAATGATGAAAATGTGCTTAGTGTCACTAAACTGTACACTTAAAAACGGTTCAAATGGTCGATTTAATGTTACATCTATTTTACCACAATTTTTTAAAGTGTTGAGAAGAGGAAGGGCACTTGAGCCAGAGCACGGAAGTGGGAGGGATGGGCTTCACTCAGGAAACAGGGAGGAGGGCAATTTGTCTGAAATATATTGGATTCAACAACAACAGTAACAATAGTGGTAGCCATAAGTATAACTTTCAAATACTGTTTATTATCATGCCCTGGGCCCTGTACTACTTCTTTTGCTAGTATTATCTCATTAAGTCTTCTCAATGATCCATAAAGTAGGTACTTTCATTATCCCAGAGTTAGAGCTGAGAAACCTGTGGCTAAGAGAGGGCAAATAATTTGCCCCGTAAGCATCAGAGCCAAGACCTGACTGTGCCTATCTCTCCCCAGAACCCACCCTGCATGTTGTTGCCTCCTGCCAGCAATGTGGGAGAAGTGGGTTGGACCCTTGAACACCAGATTAAGGAGTTGGGCCATGATGAGTAAACAGAAGGGATACAGGAAAGAATTCTGAACAGCAGAATTATGTAAAGAGAACTTCATTCAGGGAATATCAATCTGGCAGTGAGAGATAGGAGGCTAAAGGGAAACTTGGAATTTTTCCAATGAATAAATAATGACAATCTGACTGGAGAGGCTAAGATGGGAAGAAGAGGATGGACAGAGACAGGAGATATCTTCAAGGGCTTGGGAAGTGTGGAGACTAAGTGTGGAGAATAAGATCAGTCTGATATTATTCTGTGGTTTTTAACACTGGGAAGATAGTGTAGCTATCAAAAACAGGAAGCCCAGGGAAGAAAACAGGACTGGGAAGGAAGAGAGCATACTGGGGGCGTGAGGAGTTGAAAATGCTAGGAGATCTGATTGGTGGAGATGTTCCTTAGACTGTTAGAAAATGAAGGTGTCTGATGCTAGTTTCAGAAGCTCAAGCACTCAGGCAGGAAAACTATGGCAGCTAGTGTGAAGGCTGGGACCACACAGCTGAAACCTCCCCTGGATTCAAGCATTTGGGAGTTCTCAAGATGCTGGCTGGCTCCCTGCCCGCTCACACACACACACCCCCCCCGCCGCAGTCTACACTCCCCACCCATGCACACCAGCCCCATCAATCACCCATTAAGTGATAACCAAGGAATATCAGACACGAGGAAATCACAAACACGAGTAAGAAAGACCGAGATGAACAAATACAAATGACCCTGGAGAAACTGGACATAATTCAGTGAACCAAAATCACTTTCATTGGTATTCTGCAAGAGATTTGAGACAAAACTGCATCCATGAAATGAGATCATGTTGCTACGATAGAAGAGAAACCAGCAATCCATAAAGAATTCTTTGAAATAAAAATGACCAGTGTCATAGTGACAATATTTCCACAGAAAATTTGGAGTCGGGGAAATAGCCCAGAAAGCTGACCAAGTAGTTAACAAGACCTAAGACTCAGTAAGAAGAGAGACCCAGATTACCAGTCCAGAAGGACCAACTTCTGACCAATCAAAGACACAAAAGCTCATGAGTCTACGTGTCAAAGCAGTTCATTGAGTTCCCAGCATGAGGAATGAAAAGAACCACACCTAGATACGCCCTTGTATAACCTCCACACCAACAATACAGAGATCCTGAAGTCTTCCAGAGTTCAAAAGATAGGCCACCTTCACGGATGCCGTGGGCACGGGAGCAAAGAAGACAGTGGAGGCCACACGTGAGACACCGTCCCTGTGAAGGCTTCCGTTTAGAAGGCCTGCCTTGGGCAGCACAGACGGTCCCAGTGAGCCAGAATTCAATTCCCTCCCGTGTTTACCCTAACTTCCAGGAGAGAACTTCCTATTTGCAGAGCAGTCCATGTGGGTCTGATGCTATCAGCAGGTCGGAGTGATCAGGGAATGAAAGGAGAGTCTCTCCTCTCATCATTTCCCCAGGCTCAATAGAGAAGGGATAGACACAGGCTCAGTGGGGATGAGGCTCTGAGTCACTAGGGTGTCTCAGTGTCTGTGACAAAGCCAGCAACCCTTGAGAAGGAACCAAGACAAACTTCTGACTGAGGCGTGGGGAGGTGAGAACCCCCTCTGAGAAGGGAAACACCTGTGTTTCAGCTGAGCTTCTCACACTACTGTAATTTCCAGTTCTTCTGTCTTCTCCATTCACCATAAGCTTTGGGAGAGCAAGGCCTGTGTCTTATTTAGCATTTTTTATCCTGCACTTACCAAGTCCTGGTACATAGTTCAGTAGATGCTGAGCGGCTGTCTGGACAGACGCAGGAGTGGATGAATTTCTCCTTTCGTTGGATAGAAAAGGTGACAGTGGCTGCTGGCTGGCTGTGCCTCTGAAAAGTAGTCACATTCTGCTCCATTATTAAAAGAAACTCTGCATAATTGGGCTCCGTTGTCACTCCTAACAACAGAGAAGACCATTTTGCCTGTCATTATTCAGAAAAATTGTGAATAATAAGTTCATATAGATTATTAAAACTTCACCTCTAAGAGAATTACACTGCAAAATATTTAACACACAGCATTTTCCATACCGCTACTCTTCCTCAAATGGCGTCTTTCATTCCTGCTTCCAGGACTGTCTTTCTGTGGCTGTTCCTCAACGTCTTTGTTGAAATTGTCTTTTTTGCCTGTGGCTTTAAAATACACTGACACTGGGGCTTCCCTGATGATGCAGTGGTTAAGAAGACGCCTGCTATTGCAGGGGACATGGGTTCGAGCCCTGGTCTGGGAAGATCCCACATGCTGTGGAGCAACTAAGGCCGTGTGCCACAATTACTAAGCCTGCATTCTAGAGCCCGTGAGCCACAACTACTGAAGCCCGTGCACCTAGAGCCCGTGCTCCGCAACAAGAGAAGCCACCACAGTGAGAAGCCCGCGCACCGCAAAGAAGAGTAGCTCCCGCTTGCCGCAACTAGAGAAAGCCCACGCGCAGCAACGAAGACCCAACACAGCCAAAAAAAAAATACACTGACACTCACTGTGAAGGGTTTCTGCTCAGATGCCCAATCTGTATCCCTGTTTTGAAGCCCCATGTGGGGACTCCTCTGACTAACTCATTTCCACCATTGTTTCCCAAGGATCCCACAATCCCACTCATCATCCTCATTTAAAGCCTAAATGCTGTCTCTGAACCTTCCCCTAAAGGACATCCTATACATAGAAGTCCAGTGCCCTTCAACCCACAGGCAAATATTTCTCTCTCCTGATTCACACACATTACTGGCCTCTGGCAGGAGCTCAAGTCTCCTCTTTTCACCTCCCCTTTCCCTACACGTGGATCCAGATTGAGGTATTTCAGACCACAGTTGCTGTTCCTCACGTGCACCCCCAATGCCCATGCTCCCTGGGGTGCTGCTTAAGGTCCCCTCATCAGTAGTAAGAAGGGACTCTCTCTTTGCTTCATCTACTACGTGCATGAACTTGTCACAAGCACAGTCTCTGTTACACTACATGTTATATTCTCCTGTTGCTCTTCCTTGTTAAAATCCACCTATTCTTAGGTATGATTTAGCAATATATAATGAGACAAGGAGGCTATCTCCATCGGGTGTCAGAGTTACAGCGTTTGGTGAGGGAGGTGGGGAGGAAATGGAGAGGGAGCATCATCACAGTCCTATCTCTGGTCCTTAGTTCTGCACAGTCCGAAGATGATTGGCTCATCCAGAAATGATTGGATGGTTCACAGTAATCAAACTTATAAGAGATTGATGTATAAATCAGAAAGCCAGTGCGTTAATTTATAACGGCAGATAGAACTTTCTACCTGCCTATCGAAGGTCGTATCTACTCTTGAGGGACCCTCCTTTCCAGGACCCTGTTGCCTAGGGTGCCAAGGTAGGAGTCAGATAGTTGATAGAAGAGTACGTGATCAGGGTGAAAGCAGCGGTAGAGTCTTGTGCAATATTTCGTTCAGTTTCTGAAAGGCCTGATGTATTATCCCTGCTCTTCTAAAAAAAGTTTATGTGATCAATGGCCAGATGACGCGAGTCCACTAAACACAGAGCCTTTCTCCCTTGAAGAAAACTAGACTGCACCCTCAACTCGGGCTGCCCAGCTCAGTTTTCTGCACACTCTGCCTATCTTAGCACCATTGTGATTAACTTACCAAATGAATTCTTAGACGGATGTTTTCCTTTTTTTTTTCTTTAAAGATAGATTTTATTCATTTTATTTTATTTATTTTTGGCTGTGTTGGGTCTTCGTTGCTGCATGCGGGCTTTCTCTAGTTGCGGCAAGTGGGGGCTACTCTTTGCTGTGGCGCGGTGGCTTCTCTTGTTGTGGAGCACGGGCTCTAAGCGCGTGGGCTTCAGTAGTTGTGGCACGTGGGTTCTAGAACACAGGCTCAGTAGTTGTGGTGCATGGGCTTAGCTGCTCCACGGCATGTGGGATCTTCCCGGACCAGGGTTTGAACCTGTGTGCCCTGCACTGGCAGGTGGATTCTTAACCACTGAACCACCAGGGAAGCCCTGTTTTTCTCTTTTATATATATGTGGTGGGAGGTGGAGGGATTGAGGGTGGTCTTCCATTCAATCACCTAAATTCAAAGGTTGGCTGGTATCTTTGTATTTCACCACTATAATGTTCATACTGCATATTCACCATATTTAGAACCACTGACATAATCTCTGCATCTCTGTCAGTGGTTGTGAAAAACAAAAAACAACCTCCCAATTTCCACATCCAGAGTTCTAGTCCTGTCTCAGCCATTGCCTTGCTGTGTGACCTTGAGCAAGTTGCACACCCTCTCTGTGTCTCCTGTATAATATCTACCAAGAGAGAGAGGGGACCAAGTGATTTCTAAGGTCCCTTCCAGCTCTATAATTCAAGAATTTTATGCCTGAAATCAGTGTCCCTCTCTTTAAAAATCAGATGATTACATAACACAATGGCTCCCTCATAGGTCCTGGGTACACAGCAAATGAAAATTTGCACTGAAATTGATTGCAGAAATTAGAAAAAGAGCAATGAGATGATGCATAAGTGTCAAGAACCTTCTGAGAGGACAAGATCCTGGGCTCGACTGAAGGTCTGTCTCAGGTTCCAAGCTGACAAGTATTACCTACATGACAAGCTGTTGGGGGTGGAGGACTTTTTTATGACTAACAAAAAAGGCTTCCAAACAATTGGATGAAAGGTACTATATAAGGACTAAATACTCTAATTGGGCCTTTTCTGTCTCATTATTTGCCAGTGAAACTAATCCTGCTGATCTCTAGATAATAGGGGAATTTAGAAATAGAATTCCATGCTCAGATAAAATCCAAGTACTCACCCTTGACCATTAGTAAGTGTTACATGAATGAGAATCAGTGTGTCCTCTTTCCGCTTAACTACAAAGTGTCCCTTTGGAGCTCACATTTCACACCCCCATATAAAATGCACTTTGCTAAAATGTTTACTGTGGAGTGGGGCTCTTATAGAAGGGAGCTGAAGAGGCGAGGGCTGTGTGCAAACACGCGGTGGGGAGTCTGGATGGGTTTACAGTAAGCGCAAGCGTCCCACTGGGACTGCAGCCTTTTACCTCTCACCAGGGGGAGGAAGGCTGGGGGGGTGTCTGCCATTGACCAGGTGCTGCAGCCCCAGAGATCAATTCAGCACTAATGAGGGCTGCAGCTGGGAACAGAGAGGAGCCAGTGGGGCTTTGCAGGTAGGTAGGCTCACTGCAGACACGACAGAAGCACAAGAAATGGCGACCACCGTGTCTGTCCACCTCACCTTTGGACACTGCCAACTCTAAGATGGGTAATACAAGCCAGTAGTGAAGGCCTAAAGCAGAGGTTTAGATACAGGCTGCTTTCCTGGTTGAAATGGAGGTCTTAACTAATTCATCAGCACTGGGCATAACCAGCACCAGAGACGGCAAATAAGGGAAAGAAAGATGATTTTCTAAGACTACCTGGCCTTGAGAACACTGAAAAAAAATTCAGCCAGGAAAAGGAAAAAGTGACATTACTTACAGCTACTGCTCATCTTTCGTAGATCAAAAATCAAGAACCCATGACCCACGGGAGAGATCTTGCCCAGTGCTGTGCTTTCCTTGCTCGACATAGTACTGGCTCTGTGTTGTGTTTCATTCTGTTCCAATCTCGAAAGTCTCTGGTGAGTTATCAGGGCTGCACGTTTGTGCCCGTCACAGTGTGGCAGTTCCCAACTGCCCCCCCCATTCACCAAATGCCCCAGGGCCCCCTGACCCTCAGCGACATTTCTGCTACCTGGCTTGTCCCTACAGGTGACTAAATTGTCTAAATTTGACACCAAGATGTAGAACATCAAGATTTCTCAGTAAAGGTAGGAAAGAGTCTATGGACTAGAGAATGACAGTGTTCTGCCCTTGAGGGCTGTTTGCAGGAGGTGGTAGATGTCCTTTCCCTGGGAGCCCTTCACATTATGGAAGAGTTTGGCCTTGGAAGGATGAGTTGTCCAACTGCATCTAAAGTGGAAGCCAAACTAGATGTATTCTTTTATATATATACGATATATATAGTTTTACTGAGATACAATTCAGAAATCACACAATTTACTTATTTAGGGCCTACAATTCAATGGTTTTTAGTATATTTACAGATATGTGCAACCATTATCATAGTCAATTTTAGACCTTTCTCATCAACTAAAAAAGACACCCTGTATGTTCTAGCGCTCACTCTCCCTCTGCCCACCCCAGGCAATAATTAATGTACACTCTGTCTCTGTAGATCGGCCTATTCTGGACATTTCATATAAATAGAATCACGTAACATGTGATGTTTTGTGGCTGGCTTCTTTCACTTAGCGTACTGTTTTCAAAGTTCTTCAATGTCATAGCATGAGTCAGAACTTCATTCTTTTTATGGCCAGATAATATCCCATTTTGTGAATATGCTGGATTTTATTTACCCATTCATCAGTTAGTGGACATTTGGGTTGTTTCCATTTTTTACTATTATGAATAATGCTACTATAAACACTCCTGTATAAGATTTTATGTGGACCTATGTTGTCATTTAAGTATGTATTGAGGAGTGGAGTTGCTGGGTCACATGACAACTCTGTGTTTAACCATTTGAGAAACTGCTAGACTGCTTTCAAAAGTGGTTGCACCATTTTACATTCCCACCAGCAATTCCGATTGCCCCTCATCCTCACCAACACTTGTTATTATCAGACTATTTTTATTATACCCATACAACTGGGTTTGAAGTGGTCTCGTTGAGGCTCTGATTTGCAAGAGGTTGAGCATCTTTTCATGCGTTTATTGGCTCTTTGGATATTTTCTTTGGAGAAATGTCCATGCCGATCCTGTGTCCATTTTTTAATGAGTTATTTGCTTCTTATTATTGAGTTGTAAGAGTTCTTATATATTTTGGATCCAAGCTCCTTATTGCAAGTATAATTTGCAAGTATTTTTTCCATTCTGTGGATTATCTTTTCACATCCTTGGTCGTATCCTTTGATACACAAAGTTTTTAATTTTGAAGACATCTAATTTATCTATTTTTTCTTTTGTTGCTCATGTTTTGGTGTCATATTTGATGTTCCATTGCCAAATCTGAGGGCACGAAGATTTACTCCATGGTTTCTAAGAGTTTTATAGTTTATAGCTCTGAAATTTAGGTTTCTGATCTACTTCGAGTTAATTTTTAGAGTATATGATATAAGGGTCCAACTTCACTCTTCTGCATGTGGCTATCCAGTTGTCCCCGCATCATCTGTTGAAAAGACTATTCTTTCCCCATTGAATGGTCTTGTCACCCTTACTAAGTTTCTTTTAAGATCTAAGTCTGTGACATAGATGTCCCCACATTCTTAACCTTCAGAAGTCATCCCTCCCTTTAATACCATTTAGTATAGCCAAAGTTCCTACATTTCATGAATGCAGAAATGTCTTTTTTTTTTTTTGCGGTATGTGGGCCTCTCACTGTTGTGGCCTCTCCCGTTGCGGAGCACAGGCTCCGGACGCGCAGGCTCAGCGGCCATGGCTCACAGGCCCAGCCGCTCCGCGGGATGTGGGATCTTCCCAGACCGGGGCACGAACCCGTGTCCCCTGCATCGGCAGGCGGACTCTCAACCACTGCGCCACCAGGGAAGCCCTGTGTCTGTGTTTTTTAATCCAGATAAACTTCTGAGTTATTTAGTCCAATATTATTTGGAAGGGAAGTGGAACTAATTTTTTTTTTTGGAACTAATTTTTAACAAAATATATTTTACTTGGGCTGCTATAAAAATAAATTTGAGGGCTTCCCTGGTGGCGCAGTGGTTGAGAGTCCGCCTGCCGACGCAGGGGACGCGGGTTCTGTGCCCCGGTCCGGGAGGATCCCACATGTCACGGAGCGACTGGGCCCGTGAGCCATGGCCGCTGAGCCTGCACGTCCGGAGCCTGTGCTCCGCAACGGGAGAGGCCACAGCAGTGAGAGGCCCGCGTACCGCAAAAAAAATAAAAAAATAAAAAAAAATAAATTTGAGGAAAAAAAAAATCTTGAAAGTAGACAGTTAACAGCAATTATCTCCTAGATCTAAAAACTGCTTTACAGGCAAATTGAATGCTGGCAACTCTGTTAAAAATAAATAATGTTCTTTTTGCTCCAAAACAAGGATTGATCCACCTCAATTCTTCATTATTAAAATTCAGAAAAAAATAGAACACTTCCTATTCTGAGTAATTTATATCCTTACATCCCAAATGCCTTTAAGAGAGTATCTAGCATAGGGTAGAAACCTAAACAAGAAATTGTTGATTTAAATAGAGTGGAAATGGGAATGTTCTCAAGTATGCCTCTGTGTGTGTGCTTGGTGGAGGTGAGGCAGCCCAGCTCCTCTACAAATTAGGCCTTCACCTACTTCCTGTGGGTGAATTTGATGTGAATGGTCCTCATTACCCAAACTTTATATAATAATTCTATAATGTTCGATAAAATAAAACCTTCTTGGGCTGAATAGTTTTAATAGCCAGATTGCTTACAAGATACTCCAGGCTAGCTAGGCTTTTGCAGGGATATCCGTGCAGATGTGTCACTGAGGAATGAACAGGCAGGAAGCAAAGTCTGTGCAGGCAGCAAAGGGTCTCTCCCTGGAATCAGCAGAGATGGAAGCGGGGCAGTTTCCCCTCTCACTCCTCCTTAGTGACCCCAGAGATCCCCAACATGACAGCTGCATCATAGAGAGATGGCTCCCATGGCCCTTTCCTTTCTGGGCTCCTTTGGTTTCCCCAGTCCTGACATTATTTGCATTCAAGTGATGTTTCATGAACCTTGGCTCTGTACTAGGTTGTGGGTATACCTGGGTGCAAGTGCAAGCTCACAATATAGTGTTCATGCAGGATCTTAAGGCCAACGGTCTACCAAAAAAGCTCTGCTCAAGGGAGTGTGAAGCACTGAAAAAAGATGGGCTTGTAATCAATGGTGTAACATGGTATTGAAAGCCATGGACGTGGTGAGTGTGTCTAAAAACAGTATAGGATGAGAAAGACAGGGTTTCAGAATAAGGCCCCCAGGAATATCCAAATCTAACTGCTGATCAGCTTCCCAGTATCCATCCTCCCCTTCTTCCTTAGTAACAGGGCCCTCATTATTCAGTTAAAAGACACTATTTCCCAGCATCTGTTATAGCTGGGAGGTTAACAGAATGTGGACCAAGGGGGGTGTGTGGCCTACAAGAAGCCTCTCTAATGACTCACCTAGAAGGTACAACATTTTGCCTTTTCTCCCTGCCTTTAGATGCCTCCTGGCACATGGATGTGATGGCGGCCATCCTGGACCATGGGGTGACCTTGAGGATGCTAGGATGCTGAAACAGAAAGATAGATATTGAATTCCTGTACGGTCTACCTTTGGGCTTCCTTGTTTGTAAAAGAATTACTCTTCTATCTTATTTAAGCTACTATTTTTTTTTCTGTTAGGTACGTCC